TATTCGCCGAATGTGCGTCTGAAGCCGCGCCTATGCAACGTCTAGGCTGTTACGACGACGTGCTCGCAGATTTCGGCGTCAAAGTCCAAGGGGTGTCTCAATGACCACCATCATCAAGAACGGCGCCATCATCGCCAACCTTTGCGCGTGATAGGCTGTTCGCCGAGGAGCCGGACATGGACCCGAAAGAACGCAAGTATGAAACTGTCACCGCTCATCGGTTGAGTTTGACCGAGGAGGAATGGAAGCGCGAAGGCGAAATCATCCGCGCGGCTGATGAACGCGACGGAACGCTGGAGCTCCTCGATGCGCTTCTGGACGACATGCTCGATGATGAACCAAACTACGAATGGTAAAGCGCGGTACGATTGTCCTGATGGTTGCTTCACGCGCATACAATAAGGTTCGACCTGCCGTGGTCATCCAATCGGATGCGAGCACAGACCATTTCGACAGTTTGACGCTTTGTTTGGTCACGTCGGAGCCGTCAGAGGGTTCTGCGCTGCGCGTCCCGATAGAGCCGACCACGAGAAACGGTTTGAAGCGCAAAAGCTGGGTTCAGACCGAAAAGATCGTCACGATCCCGCAACTGGAAACGCGCCGCGTGATCGGTGAAGTTGAACCGAACCAGATGCGCGAGATCGACATCGCGCTCGCCACCCATCTAAATCTCTATGCCCTCGCGCCAAGCCAGGAGTGAACCCATATGACCACCATCATCAAGAACGGCACCATCGTCACCGCCGACCGGACCTACAAGGCCGATGTGAAGGTCGAAAACGGCGTGATCGCCGAGATCGGGCAGAACCTGTCGGGCGGCGAGGAACTGGATGCGACCGGCTGCTATGTGATGCCCGGGGGCATCGACCCGCATGTGCATCTCGAAATGCCGTTCATGGGCACCTATTCGTCGGACGATTTCGAGAGCGGCACACGCGCCGCGCTCGCCGGCGGCACGACGATGGTGGTCGATTTCTGCCTGCCCAATCCCGAACAGTCGCTGCTGGAGGCGCTGCAGCGCTGGGACAACAAGTCGACGCGCGCCAATTGCGACTACTCGTTCCACATGGCGATCACCTGGTGGGGCGAACAGGTGTTCAACGAGATGGAGGACATCACCAGGCGCGGCATCAACACCTTCAAGCACTTCATGGCCTACAAGGGCGCGCTGATGGTGAACGACGACGAGATGTTCGCTTCGTTCCGCCGCTGCGCGGAACTCGGCGCGCTGCCCCTGGTGCACGCCGAAAACGGCGATGTCGTCGCCGATCTGCAGGCGAAGCTGCTCGCCGAGGGCAATGATGGCCCCGAAGGCCACGCCTATTCGCGGCCGCCGCAGGTGGAAGGGGAAGCCACCAATCGCGCGATCATGATCGCCGACATGGCGGGCGTGCCGGTCTACATCGTCCACACCTCCTGCGAGGACGCGCACGAGGCGATCCGCCGGGCCCGGATGGCCGGCAAGCGCGTCTATGGCGAACCGCTGATCCAGCATCTGACGCTCGATGAGAGCGAATATTTCGACAAGGACTGGGACCATGCGGCGCGGCGCGTCATGAGCCCGCCCTTCCGCAACAAGCAACACCAGGATTCGCTTTGGAACGGGCTGTCGTCGGGCTCGCTGTCGGTCGTTGCCACCGACCATTGCGCCTTCACCACCGAGCAGAAGCGCAACGGCGTCGGCGATTTCACGCAGATTCCGAACGGGACGGGCGGGCTCGAGGACCGGATGCCGATGCTGTGGACCCATGGCGTCAACACCGGCCGGCTGACGATGAACGAATTCGTCGCCGTCACCTCGACCAACATCGCCAAGATTTTGAACGCCTATCCCAGGAAAGGCGCGATCCTCGAGGGTGCGGACGCCGACATCGTCGTCTGGGACCCCAACAAGGAAAAGACCATCTCCGCCGACAGCCAGCAGTCGGCGATCGACTACAACGTCTTCGAGGGCAAGCATGTGAAAGGCCTGCCGCGCTTCACGCTGACCCGCGGCAAGGTGGCCGTCCACGATGGCGAGGTGCGCACCGAGGAGGGCCATGGCCAGTTCGTCGAGCGTCCGCCGAACAACCCGGTCAACACCGCGCTGTCGACCTGGAAGGAACTGACCGCCCCGCGCAAGATCGAGCGCACCGGCATTCCGGCAAGCGGGGTCTGACCGGCTCCGATGCTTTCGCCATCCCCGCAATCCGAAACGGTCATCTCCGCCGACAGCCTCGATCTTGTCTTTGAGACCAATGACGGGCCGGTGCATGCGCTGTCGGACATCTCGCTCGATATCGAAAAGGGCGAATTCGTCTCGCTGATCGGCCCCTCGGGCTGCGGCAAGACCACGCTGCTGCGCGTCATCGCCGATCTTGAACACCCGACCGGCGGGACGATCACGGTCAACGGATTGACGCCGCACGAGGCGCGGCTGAAGCGCGCCTATGGCTATGTGTTTCAGGCCGCCGCTTTGTTTCCGTGGCGATCCATCGCCGACAATGTCGGCCTGCCGCTCGAAGTGATGGGTCTCGACAGGGCCGAGCGCGACAGGCGCGTCAGCGAAAATCTCGAACTGGTCGATCTGGCCGGGTTCGAGAAGAAGTTTCCCTGGCAATTGTCGGGCGGCATGCAGCAGCGCGCCTCGATTGCCCGCGCGCTCGCCGTGCAGCCGGACATGCTGCTGATGGACGAGCCGTTCGGCGCGCTCGACGAGATCGTGCGCGACCATCTCAATGTGCAGCTTCTGAAACTCTGGGCGGCGACGCACAAGACCATCGTCTTCGTCACGCACTCGATTCCCGAGGCGGTGTATCTCTCCACCAAGATCGTGGTGATGAGCCCCCGACCGGGCCGCATCCACGAGGTGATCGATTGCGATCTGGGCGACGAGCGGCCGCTGGAGGTGCGCGAAACGCCTCAGTTTCTGAAGATCGCCCATCAAGTGCGCGAAGGGCTGGCTGCGGGGCATGCCTATGAGTGAGGGCAGGGCGGCGTATACCCCCACCCTTCATCCCTCCCCACAAGGGGGAGGGAGGACATCGGCACCTCGCGACCTCGCCGGTTTGCGAGCCAGGTTTGATCGTGCAGAAATGAGCACGGCGTTGATCTCTTCCCTCCCCCTTGTGGGGAGGGATGAAGGGTGGGGGTTTGGCTCTTCGACGGGGGCAGCGCCATCATGATCCGCACCCGCATCCTGCCCATCCTCACCGTCGTCGCGGCGATCATCGCGGTCTGGTATGCGTTCGCGGTGATCCTCAACGCCCCGTTCGAGCGCAACGCCGCCGAGCGGGCCGGCGAGACGATCGGCTTCGCCGAAATCCTGCCCAAGACCATGAGCCAGCAGCGGCCGGTGCTGCCGGCGCCGCACCAGGTGGCCGTCGAGATCTGGGAAACGACGGTCGAAAAGAACATCACCTCCAAGCGCAGCCTGATCTACCATGCTTGGGTGACGCTGTCGGCGACGCTTCTCGGCTTCATGATGGGCACCGCGCTCGGCATCCTTCTGGCCGTCGGCATCGTGCATTCCCGGGTGCTCGACAAGTCGATGATGCCCTGGATCATCACCTCGCAGACGATCCCGATCCTGGCGCTGGCGCCGATGATCATCGTTGTCTTCAATTCGGTCGGCGTGACCGGCCTTCTGCCCAAGGCGCTGATCTCGACCTATCTGAGTTTCTTTCCGGTGGCGGTCGGCATGGTGAAGGGGCTCCGTTCGCCCGAAACCATGCACATGGACCTGATGCACACTTACTCAGCCAACCGGGCGCAGACCTTCTGGAAGCTGCGCTGGCCGTCCTCGGTGCCGTTCCTGTTCACCTCGATGAAGATCGGCATCGCCGCGAGCCTCGTCGGCGCGATCGTCGGCGAACTGCCGACCGGCGCGGTGGCGGGCCTGGGCGCGCGGCTTCTGGCCGGGTCCTATTACGGCCAGACCGTGCAGATCTGGTCGGCGCTGATCGTCGCCGCTGTGCTGGCCGGGCTGCTCGTCGGGCTGATCGGCTGGATTGGCGGCTGGCTCAACCGCCGCATGGGCGTCAGGGAGGCGCGGGCGTGACCAACACGGCCATCCTCATTGCCGCGATCGTCTTCTGGCTGGCGGCCTGGTATGCCAACACAAGGCTCGCCGCCCTGCGGCCCGAACGCGGGCCGATGGTCACGCTTGTCAATCTCGCCATCCCGGTGCTGTTCGGCGCGGCGATCCTGGCGCTCTGGGAAGGGATCACACGCGGCTTCGGCGTGCCGACCGTCATCCTGCCGCCGCCATCGATGATCTGGGAGCGCATCATTTCGTCAGTGCCGACGCTCTGGGCCGATTTCCAGCAGACCTATCTCAAGGGCGTCGTCTCGGGCTATCTGATCGGCTGCTCGCTCGGCTTTCTCGTCGCCGTCCTCGTCGACCGCTCGCCTTTCTGGAAGGCCGGCGTGATGCCGATCGGCAATCTCGTCTCCGCGCTGCCCATCGTCGGCATCGCGCCGATCATGGTGATGTGGTTCGGCTTCGACTGGCAGTCCAAGGCCGCCGTGGTCGTCGTGATGACCTTTTTTCCGATGCTGGTGAACACGGTCGCCGGCCTGAATGCGGCCGGGCACATGGAGCGCGATCTGATGCACACCTATGCGTCGACGCGCACGCAGTCGCTCATCAAGCTGCGGCTGCCGGCGGCGATGCCGTTCATCTTCAACGCCTTGAAGATCAATTCGACGCTTGCGCTGATCGGTGCGATCGTCGCAGAGTTTTTCGGCACACCCATTGTCGGCATGGGCTTCCGCATTTCGGCGGAAGTGGGCCGGCTCAATGTCGACATGGTGTGGGCCACGATATTCGTCGCCGCGCTTGCCGGCTCGCTCTCCTACGGCGCGATTGCGCTGGTCGAGCGGTCGGTGACATTCTGGCATCCGTCCATGCGAAGCGAGCGGCCATAAAACGGGATGACGGGTGCCGACACGATCAATCAACGGAGCAAACAGGGAGAACCAAAATGCGCAAATGGATAGCACTGGCCGCAGGTACGGCGATGGGGCTGACGGCGGCATCGGCCGCCAACGCCGCCGATGAACTGACGCTGCAGCTCAAATGGGTCACGCAGGCGCAGTTCGCCGGCTATTATGTGGCGAAAGACAAGGGCTTTTACGAAGAAGCCGATCTGGACGTGACCATCAATCCGGGCGGGCCGGACATCGCGCCGCCGCAGGTGATCGCCGGCGGCGGCGCCGATGTCGTCATCGAATGGATGCCCGCCGCGCTCGCCGCGCGCGAGAAGGGCGTTCCGCTGGTCAACATCGCCCAGCCGTTCCAGCGGTCGGGCATGATGCTGACCTGCCGCAAGGAAACCGGGATCGAGACGCCCGAAGACTTTCGCGGCCGGACGCTGGGCGTGTGGTTTTTCGGCAACGAGTTCCCGTTCCTGTCCTGGATGAGCCAGCTCGGCATTCCGACCGAGGGCGGCGATGACGGCGTCGAGGTGCTCAAGCAGGGCTTCAACGTCGATCCGCTGATCCAGGAGCAGGCCGACTGCGTGTCGACCATGACCTACAACGAGTACTGGCAGGTCATCGATGCGGGCTTCACGCCGGACGATCTGGTCGTCTTCAACTATACCGACCAGGGCGTTGCGACGCTGGAAGACGGCATCTACGTGCTCGAGGAAAGCCTTGCCGACGAGGCGATGGCCGACAAGCTGGCGCGGTTCGTTGCGGCCTCGATGCGCGGCTGGGAATATGCCTGCGAGAACCAGCAGGAAGCGGCCGAGATCGTGCTTGAGAACGACGCGACCGGCGCCCAGACCGAGGAGCACCAGGTGCGCATGACCGGCGAGATCTGCAAGCTCATCGGCGATTCCGACGGAACGCTCGATACGGCTGCGGCCGAGACGACGGTCGACTCGCTGCTTGCCGGCGGTTCGGACCCGGTGATCACGGCCCGGCCGGAAGGCGCCTGGACCGACGCGATCATGAACAAGGTCAAGGGCATGTAATCGTCTTTCTCATGACGCGGAAAAGGCCGGCGAAAGCCGGCCTTTTTTGTTTCTGAGCAGGCGCAGAAAAAATTTGACCTTTTGATCAAATTATTGAAAGCTTTCGCCCACGACAAGCGGCCGCCAAGAGCCGTCGACAATTCGGGTTCTCGGAGGGAGACCGCGCGATGGCGCCAAACCGTGTTTCACCGGACATTCAGGCCGGGCGTCTGCCGGCCGATCAGTACGCCGACAATTTCGACGATCTGCACGAACCGCTCGACCGGCACGAGGCGGTCGTCGAGGCCGACCGCTGCTATTTCTGCTATGACGCGCCGTGCCAGACCGCATGCCCGACATCGATCGACATTCCGATGTTCATCCGGCAGATCTCGACCGGCAACGCCAATGGCGCGGCCAGGACGATCTTCGACCAGAATATTCTGGGCGGCATGTGCGCCCGCGTCTGCCCGACCGAGACGCTGTGCGAAGAAGTGTGCGTGCGCGAGGTGGCCGAGGGCAAGCCGGTCAAGATCGGCCTTTTGCAGCGCTACGCGACCGATCATTTCCTGGAAACGGCCGAGCAGCACCCCTATGAGCGCGCCGCGCCGACGGGCAAATCGGTGGCGATTGTCGGCGCCGGGCCGGCGGGCCTGTCCTGCGCGCATGCGCTCGCCCGCCACGGCCACGACGTCACCATCTTCGAGGCGCGCGAGAAGGCCGGCGGGCTGAACGAGCACGGCATCGCCGCCTACAAGACGACGGAGAATTTCGCCCAGCGCGAAGTGGATTTCATTACCGGGATTGGCGGAATCGCGATCAGGAACGGCATGGCGCTCGGCCGCGACGTCACGCTGGACGATCTGGTGGCGGGCCATGACGCGGTGTTCCTGGGCATGGGCCTGCCCGGGGTCAACGATCTGGGCCTCGAAGGCGACGATGCGGACAATTGCATCGATGCCGTCGCCTATATCGAGAAGCTGCGCCAGACCGACGATCTGTCGGCGCTGCCGGTCGGCCGCAACATCGTCGTCATCGGCGGCGGCATGACCGCGATCGATGTCGCGGTGCAGACCAAGCTTCTCGGGGCCGAGACGGTGACCATCTGCTACCGACGGGGGCAGGAGCAGATGAACGCGTCGGCCTATGAGCAGGAGGTGGCGCAGACGCATGGCGTGACCATCCGCCACTGGCTTCAGCCGCAGGCGCTTGTGCGCAACGATGATGGCGCGGTCACGGGTATCACGCTCGAATATACGGCGATGAACGGCAAGCTGAGCGGCACCGGCGAGACCGTGACGCTGGGCGCCGACCAGGTGTTCAAGGCGATCGGCCAGAAGCCGGTCGAGGGCCTCTTCGGCGGCGTCTCGCTCGATCTGTCGGGCGGGCGCATCTTCACCGATGACGACCGGCGCACGAGCCATGACAAGGTCTGGGCGGGCGGCGACTGCATCGCCGGCGGCGAAGACCTGACGGTGGTCGCCGTCGAAGACGGCAAGATCGCCGCCGCCAGCATTCACAAGCGGCTGACAGGATGAACGCGGAGGTCTCACGTTTCTGGTCGAGGTTCCGCGCGGCCCATCCGGATGCGGGCTCTGAACCGTTCGACGTCTTTCGCGTGGGCGATACCGACGAGAGCGCGGACGGAGGGGCCGATCTCATCGTGTCCGGCATCAAGACGGCAACGAGCTCGCTTCCCGAAGAGCTTGTCGACATCGGAATCCCGTTTCCGGGCGCCTTGAGCGTCGTGATCGACGGCAACGCCCGGCCCAGGGCCGTCGTCGAGACAATGCAGGTCAGTCAAACCCCGTTCGGCGAGGTCGATGCAAAGTTTGCCCATGATTATGGCGAATGGGACCGCACGCTGGAGACATGGAAGGCCCGCAACGGCGCGCACTATCGCGCGGTCTGCGAAGGGCTGGGCCTTGAGTGGCACGAGCAGCGCGAACTGATCTGCGAGCGCTTCAAGGTCGTCTTTTCCGATACTGCGCATCACGCGCCAAGCAGGAGCATGAGCCATGGCTGATCTGCACACCAACTTTCTCGGCGTTTCGTCGCCCAATCCGTTCTGGCTGGCCTCGGCCCCGCCAACCGACAAGCAGTACAATGTCGAGCGTGCCTTCGAGGCGGGGTGGGGCGGCGTTGTCTGGAAGACGCTGGGCGAAGCCGGCCCGCCGGTCGTCAATGTCAACGGACCGCGCTATGGCGCGATCTGGGGTCCGGACCGGCGGCTTCTGGGGCTCAACAATATCGAACTGATCACCGACCGCGATCTCGAGGTCAATCTGCGCGAGATCGAGACGGTCAAGAAGAACTGGCCCGATCGGGCGATGATCGTTTCGCTGATGGTGCCGTGCGAGGAGGAGCCCTGGAAGAACATCCTCGCTTCGGTCGAACAAACCGGCGCCGATGCGGTCGAACTCAATTTCGGCTGCCCGCACGGCATGAGCGAACGCGGCATGGGCTCGGCGGTCGGTCAGGTGCCCGAATATATCGAGATGGTCGCGCGCTGGTGCAAGCAGCATTCCGACCTGCCGGTGATCGTCAAGCTGACGCCGAACATCACCGATATCCGCAAGCCGGCCGAAGCCGCCAAGCGCGGCGGCGCTGACGCCGTGTCGCTGATCAACACGATCAATTCGATCGTCTCGGTCGATCTGGACAGCTATTCGCCGGTGCCCTCGATCGACGGCAAGGGATCGCATGGCGGCTATTGCGGGCCTGCCGTAAAACCGATTGCGCTGTCGATGGTCTCGGAGATCGCGCGCCATCCCGAAACGCACGGCATGCCGATCTCGGGCATTGGCGGTATCCAGACATGGCGCGATGCAGCCGAATATATCGCGCTGGGCTGCGGCACGGTGCAGGTCTGCACGGCGGCGATGACCTACGGGTTCAAGATCGTCCAGGAGATGATCGCCGGGCTGGAAGCGTGGATGGATGAAAAGGGCCATGCGACGATCGAGGATTTTCGCGGCATGGCGGTGCCCAACGTCACCGACTGGCAATATCTGAACCTCAACTACGTGACCAAGGCGCGCATCGACCAGGATCTGTGCATCTCCTGCGGGCGGTGCCACATCGCCTGCGAGGACACTTCGCACCAGGCGATCACCAACATGGTCGATGGCGTGCGCAAGTTCGAGGTGATCGACGAGGAGTGCGTCGGCTGCAATCTGTGCGTCAATGTCTGCCCGGTGGATGACTGCATCACCATGGAACAGATTTCCGGCACCGATCCGCGCACCGGCAAGCCGATCGATCCGGACTATGGCAACTGGACCGAGCACCCCAACAATCCGTCGGTGCAGCGGGAGGCGGCGGAGTAGGGCTCAGGCGCCGAGCGCGTTTTCGAGAAAGGTCAGCACCGCCGCCCGCATCTCGGGCGTTTCCTGATGGCCGGTGTCGGGTGATGTCAGTACAGTGAGTCGGTCCGAAGCGCGTTGCGTTTCATAGGCTTGGCGCAATCGGCTGAGCGCCGGATTCAAGGCGACGGGCGGCGTGAGCGGGTCTTTGAGGCCCGATGCGGCCAGTTGCGGGCGGGGAGCGATCAGAGCCGCTACATCGCCCATATCGCCATTTTCGAGCAGGCCCGGAACGGTCATGTAGATGCCGTGCAGATCGTGTGCATTGGTGTCGATCAGCGGACCTATATCGGCGAACGCGCACATGTGGGCGCAGGCGGCGATGCGCTCGTCTAGCGCGGCGAGCCAATAGGCGTGCGTCGCGCCCATCGAGATGCCGAGCGTGCCGATGCGGGCCGGATCGACTGCCGGGTGGGCGGTCAGGGCATCAAGCGCCGCCGTCAGATCGCCGAGCATTGCGCCGGACAGGGTCTGCCCGCGCCACAGCGCGGCCTTGGCGAGCGCGCTTTCCGTGCCTTCGAGTTGGCGGCTGCCGAAGCCGGGCATGTCGATGCACAGGACCGCATATCCGCGTTCCGCGAGCAGCGGCCCGTAGGGCGGGTCCTGAAGCGCGGGTCGGCCGTCCACCAGTTCGGCGGCGCCGATATCGTAGCGGTTGCCATGGGCGTGGCAGTAAAGGATGGCCGGGGCTCGCCCGCCGTCCGTTGCGGGCAGCAGCAAAGTGCCGGCAATGGCGGGACCAGTCCCTTGCAGCGTAACGCGCTGGTGGCGGATGCCGTTGCGCACCGTCTCGTCGTCCACCCCGATGCGGGCGGGTTCCGCGTCCGTCGGCGGCAGGCGCAAAAGCGTGCCCAGTTCGTCGCGCGTGATCGGCATCATAGGCCCCTTCGCGGGCAATAGCGGTTGCGTCCAAGGCTACTGGTATACTAGTGTTTCCGCAATTGGGAGAGACGTGTCATGCGGCAGACATGGCGCTGGTTCGGGCCGGTCGACAAGGTCACGCTCGCCGATGCGCGGCAGGCCGGCGCCGAAGGTATCGTCACGGCGCTGCATCATATCGCGCCGGGCGCGATCTGGCCGGTTGCCGAGATCGAACAGCGGCAGCGCGAGGTGGCCGCGCATCCGGACGGCCCGCCCACCGGGCTCGCCTGGGAGGTGGTCGAGAGCCTGCCGGTCTCCGAGGCGATCAAGACGCAGAGCGGCGACTGGCGCGGCGATCTGGACCGCTATGCCGAGAGCATTGCCAATCTGGCGGCATGCGGCATCCGCACCGTCTGCTACAATTTCATGCCGGTGCTCGACTGGACCCGCACCGATCTGCGCGCTCCGACCGCGGCGGGCGGGGCCGCGATGGTGTTCGATCTGATCGATTTCTCCGCATTCGACATGCACATTCTGCGTCGGGTCGGCGCGCGCGACGATTACCCTCGCGCCGTGATCGACGCGGCGGCGGAGCGCTTCACGGCGATGAGCGGCGACCGCAAGGCCGAACTGGCCGCCAACGTGACCGCCGGGCTGCCCGGCGCGGCCGAGCATTGGACGCTGGACGATGTGCGCGCGAAACTCGCCGATTATCGCGGCATCGATGCCGGCCGGCTGCGCCGTCACCATGTCGATTTCCTCGAGGCGATGGCGCCTGTCGCCGAGACCCAGGGCGTACGGCTTTGCTGCCACCCCGACGATCCGCCATGGCCGTTGCTCGGTCTGCCGCGTGTCTGGTCGACGGCGGACGATGTGCGCCACGTCTTCGATGCCGTGCCGAGCCCGGCCATCGGGCTGACGCTGTGCACCGGTTCGTTCGGCGCGCGGGCCGACAACGATCTCGCCGCCATTGTGCGCGAATTCGGCCCCCGCATCCATTTCGTCCATCTGCGCAACGTGACGCGGGAAGCGGACGCGGTGCCGTGCAGTTTCGCCGAAGACGAGCATCTGGCCGGACAGACCGACATGGTCGCGGTGATCGGTGCGCTTCTGGAAGAGGAGCGGCGGCGCAAGGCCGAGGGCAGGGCCGATTGGGAGATTCCGATGCGCCCGGACCACGGCCACGAGATCCTCGACGATGCGGCGCGCGGCAGCCAGCCCGGCTATCCGGCGATCGGCCGCTTGAAGGGCCTGGCCGAACTGCGCGGCATCATGACGGCGCTGGAGGCGAACCATGCCGCGGCCTGAAACCTATCGCGCCCTGTTCGACCCGGCTTCGGTCTTCGCCGAAGCCACCATCGATACGAGCCGACCGATCGCGCCGCAGGTCTATGACATGTTGCGAACGCGCATTATCGACAACCGGCTTCCGCCGGGCGCGGTAATCTCCGAGGCGGAGACGGCGCGGCTGTGCGCTGTCAGCCGGACGCCGGTGCGCGCGGCGATCCAGAACCTGGCCAGCGAGGGACTGGTGCAGGTGCGTCCGCAAGTGGGCACCGTGGTGGCGCCGCTGGACGAAGCGCGGCTCAACGAGGCGGTCTTCGTGCGGGCGGCCATCGAGTGCGCCGTCGTCCGGCACCTTGCCGAGACCGGCGCCGATCTGACCGGTCTCGAACCGCTTCTGGCGGCGCAGTTCAGGGCTGCCGAACATGACGACTACATGACGTTTTTCCGCCATGACGAAGCGTTCCACGCAGCGCTTGCCGGGCTGGCGGGCGTCCCCAATGCGTGGGGGCTGATCCAGTCGATGAAGGCGCATGTTGACCGCCAGCGTCTGGCGCTGATGTCGTCGATCAAGGGCCGCTCCATGGCGGCCTATCGGCAGCATCTGGCCGTTCTCGACGCGATTTCCGCGGGCGAAGCCGATGCGGCGGAGGCGCGCATGCGGGCCCATATCCATTCCGTGCTTGAAACCGGCGGGGTGTCGGGCCACGATCCGGTTCAAGATGGCGACAGGCGCTTGCGAGTGCCTTGAGACCATACTAGTATACCAGTAACGTTGGTACGTGAATGACCCTTGGGAGGAGACATAAATGACTGGACGTTTTGCAAAGAGGCTTGTGCTGGGCAGTGCCGCCCTGGCGCTGATGGCGGGCACAGCCCTCGCCGAAACCGAGTTGCGGATCACCTGGTACAATGACGGCAATGAGGGCGAGGTCATGCGCGACCTGCTCGATAGGTTCGAGGAGGCCAATCCGGACATCACCGTCGTTCTGGACACGGTGCCCTACAAGGCGATCCTCGAGAGCCTTCCGGTGCAGCTTGCCGCCGGCGAGGGCACGGACCTTGCGCGCGTCACCGACCTTGGCGGGCTTGCGCAATACTATCTCGACCTGACGCCCTACATCTCCGATCCCGGATATTGGGAGACCAATTTCGGCCCGTTCCTGAACTGGAAGCGCGAACCGGGCAATGACAGCGCGATCGCCGGCTTCATGACCCAGCTCACCGTGACCGGGCCCTACGTCAACAAGACCCTGTTCGAGCAGGCCGGTGTCGAATTGCCCGGCGAGGGCGCCACATGGGACGATTGGGCAGCGGCATCCAGGCAAGTGGCCGAAGCGCTCGACATCGCCTATCCGATGGCCTGGGACCGCTCCGGCCACCGTGTTTCGGGGCCGGCGATCTCGATGGGCGCCAAGATGTTCACCGACGAGGGCGAGCCGGCACTGGTCGATGACGGGCTGAAGATGATGGCCCAGAAGCTCTATGACTGGCACCAGGACGGCACGATGCCGAAGGAGCTATGGGGCTCGGTTTCGGGCAACCAGTATCTGGGCGCCAACGAGGAATTCGCCAACGCGCAGGTCGTCATGTACATGTCCGGCTCGTGGCAGATCCCGCAGTTCGCCGAAACGATCGGCGATGCGTTCGACTGGTGGGCGGTGCCCGCACCGTGCGGACCGGCAGCCTGCACCGGCATGCCCGGCGGCGCCGCACTCGTCGCCCTCAAGGACACCGAGCATCCCGAGGAAGTCGGCAAGCTGATGGATTACCTTTCGAGCGAAGAGGTGCTCGCCGAGTTCTACGGCCGCACGCTGTTCATTCCGGGCCATCTCGGCCTTGCCGAGGGCGGCGTGGACTTTGCGACCGACGATCCGCGCGCCAACCATGCGCTGTCGACGTTCGCGGCGGCGGTTCCAGGCATTTCGCCGACCGCGTTCGATCTTCAGGGCTACGTCAACAACCGCGTCATGTTCAACGCGCTGATCTCGCGGCTCGGCGAGGCGATCGTCGGCGAGTTGACGCTCGACGAAGCCTATGAGCGCATGGAACAGGACGTCGCCCAGCAGATCGGGGAAAAGGAACGCGACGGCTGATCGCCGTATTGCATCCTTGCGCTATCGACCCGGCGCGGCCTTGTGGTCGCGCCGGACCCCTGCCAGCCAGCGCTGAAAGGTGACCGGCTTCATGGCACTCAATGATGTCGCTCCGTCCGAACCGGTCACGCTGACCGATCGCGCCAAGGCCGCGGCCGCCTGGCCGATCAAGCTGCTGGCGACCGTTCTCGATGTGCCGTTCCGCTTTCTGCAGCGGATTTTCGGCATCGGCGCGATGCCCTATTTCTTCATCCTGCCGAACATGATCTTCTTCGGCACGTTCGTCGTGCTGCCGCTGTTCATCAATTTCGCCTTTTCGGTGACCGGCGGCACCAACCTGTTCCTCGCCGACCGGCCCTATGTCGGCGCCGAACAGTATGAGTTCCTTGCGACCTGCGCGAACCATTTCGATCCGGCAACGTGCCGCGAGGACCGGTTCTGGCGCGGCATCTACAACACGATGGTGTTCGTGTTCTTCCAGGTCTCGCTGATGGTGCTGTTTTCGCTGATCACGGCGCTCATACTCAATCGCGACATTCGCTATCGCGGCTTCTACCGCGCGGCCTTCTTCTTCCCGGTGCTGCTGTCGCCGGTGGTCGTGGCGCTGATCTGGAAGTGGATCCTGCTGCGCGACGGCGTTCTCAATGCCGGCCTTGTCGGCATGGGGCTCGATCGCATCCTGTTCTTCGTCGATCCGCAATGGTCGATGTTCTGGGCGATCTTCGTGTCGATCTGGGCGAACATGGGCTTTTACACGCTGATCCTGCTCGCCGGCCTGCAGGCGATCCCGCCGGACCTCTATGAAGCGGCGGAGATGGACGGAACCAAGCCCGAGCGCGTTTTCTGGCGCATCACGCTGCCGCTCCTTTGGCCGAACATGCTGGTGGTCATCGTCCTGGCGCTGATCAAGTCCGTGCAGGTGTTCGACGAGGTGTTCGTCCTGACCGGCGGCGGCCCGGGCACCGCGACGCAGTTCATCGTCCAGTACATCTACACGACCGGCTTTTCGAGCCAGGTGCAGAATTTCGGGCTGGCCGCCGCCGCCTCGGTCGTCCTTGGTGCGGTGCTGTTCGTGCTCACGCTTCTCCAGCTTGCCGTCGTGCGCAGAAGGGATCAGGGCTGATGGCCGATGTCGTTGCCAGACCGACCCGGACGCTCGGCGCATTGCTGACCGCGACGCGCGGCAATGGCCGGCTGCACTGGACCGATATCTTCACCTACATCTATCTGGTGCTCGGCGTCGCGCTGATGTTCGGGCCCGTCGTCTGGCTCGTCCTGTCATCCTTCAAGACGCAAGCCGGCCTTCAGGAATTTCCGCCGACGCTCTTGCCGCTTGGCCAGATCTCCGTCGAGGTAGAGGGCTATGACGATCCGCTGCCGCTGTTCCGCGTGACCATGGAGGACGGCACGGTGGAGGAACTCGCGCAGGTGCGGCGTGTCGGCATCATGGCGCAGATGGTCGATCCCGATAATCCCGGAGAGCGCATCCAGGTGTCGATCAACGACCGCGAACCGATCCGCGAAATGCGTGTCGCTTGGGAGAATTACACAAAGCCGCTCGAGACCTTCAACTTCCTCACCTATCTGAACAATTCCGTCATCGTGACGGCGGCGGCGACGCTGATCACGCTGTTGATCAATTCGATGGCCGCCTACGGGCTGGCGATCTACGAGTTCCGGGGGCGCAACGCGGTGATGCTGTTCGTCATCAGCACGCTGATGATCCCGATCACCATCATCCTGGTGCCGACCTATCTGGTGGTCACGCAGCTTGGCATGGTCAACACGCTGTGGGCGGTGATCATACCGGGCTGTGCGACGCCGACGGGCGTCTTCCTGCTGCGGCAATACATGCTGACCATTCCGCGCGACCTGATCGAGGCGGCGCGCATGGACAAGGCGTCCGAATGGCAGATCTACTGGCGCATCGTTCTGCCGCTGTCGCTGCCGGCGATCGCGGTGCTTGCCATCTTCTCGGTGATGTGGCGCTGGAACGATTTCCTCTGGCCCCTGATCGTGCTCAACCGGTCGGAAGTCTACACGCTGCAGATCGGCCTGAACGCCTTCCAGGGCGAACTGAACGTCCAGTGGCACTTCGTGCTGGCCATGACCGTTGTGGCGCTGATCCCGGTGACGGTCGTGTTCGCCTTCCTGCAGCGCTTCATCACCACCGGCATCGCTTCGTCGGGCATGAAATGACCGTCATGCGCCCGCTGATCTTCATGGACCCGTTCCCGCGCACCGAGGCGATGGTGCTGACGCACGACGCGGAGGAGGCGTTGCGCGGCATGGGCCGGCTGGTCACCCATCTCGGATCGCGTGCGCCGGACGAACTTGTCGAGAGCATCTTGGACGAGGTCGCTGTCATCATCGGCCAGACGGCGATGGATCGCGCCCGGCTCGACCGCGCGGTGAACCTCAAGGCGATCGTCAACGTCAAGGCGAACTGGGAGCCGAACATCGATTATGGATACGCGCAGGCGCGCGGCATCCATGTGCTGTCGGCGGCGCCCGCCATGGCACCGGCCGTTGCCGAGTTCTGCCTCGGACAGGCGATCAATCTGGCGCGCGGGCTGGTTGCGGCGGACGCGGATTTCAGAGCCGGGACCGAGCGCTACGGCATCGCCGGCAACGGCACGGCCTATTCGCTGTTCAACGCGCCGGTCGGCCTGATCGGCTACGGCAATCTGGGCCGCGCCCTCGTGCCGCTGCTGCGGCCCTTCACGGATCAGATCGCCGTGCACGACCCGTTCCTGTCGGACGCCTTTCTGGAGGGAGAGGGGCTTGAACCGATGCCGCTCGACGATCTGCTGCCGACCAGCCGGTTCGTCTTCCTGCTGGCCGGTGCGACCAGTGAGAACGAACGCTTTCTGACCGCGGAGAGGCTGGCGGCGATCCCGGACGACGCCAGCGTCATCCTGGCGTCGCGCGCCGAAGTGGTGGACTTCAAAGCGCTGCTTGGCGAGGCCCAAAGGGGCCGGCTGCGGGTGGCCATCGATGTCTTTCCCGAAGAGCCGGTGCCGGTGGAAGACGCGGCGCGACAGACGGACAACGCGCTCTTTTCGGCGCATCTGGCCGGCGGGATGGAGGCGTCCTATGCGCGCATCCGCGCCATGATGATCGACGATGTGCGGCAGATCCTCGCCGGGCTGCCGCCAATGCATCTGCAACGCGCCGAACCGCGCCTGGCGGCGATGGCGCGCAGCCGGTAACGACACAAAGAGCGGGGGTCCGGTGACAGAAATCCAGTTGAACAAGGTCAAGAAGGCCTATGGCGATGTCGAGGTGATCCACGGCATCGACCTGCATGTGCAGTCGGGCCAGTTCGTGGTCTTCGTCGGCCCGTCGGGATGCGGCAAGTCGACCCTGTTGCGGATCATCGCCGGTCTCGAACCGGTCACCGGCGGCGATGTCGTGATCGATGGCGATGTGGTCAATGCGGTGCCAGCGTCCGAGCGCGGGCTGGCCATGGTGTTCCAGTCCTATGCGCTCTATCCGCACATGACGGTCTACAAGAACATGGCGTTCGGGCTCGAGAACTCGAACATGCCGCGCGCCGAAATCGAAAACCGCGTCCACGAGGCAGCGAAGCTGCTGCAGATCGATCCCTATCTGCAGCGCCGGCCCAAGGCCTTGTCGGGCGGCCAGCGCCAGC